GGTCATAGGATGGTGAGCCATGGTCTTCTTCGCACAAATCAACAGACAAAAGTTCAAGGCAACCCTCCTGCGGTATCTGGTGAAGCCAATCTACGAATCCCTTCGACTCACCTCCTCAAAAAATGACAGGTACGCTATTATCAATCTATTAATGGATTCTTAGTAACACAGCTTCTCTTCATACCTTTCATTTCATTTGAAAAGGCGAGTAGAAGAGATTCGAAAGTTGGCCTCAACTGAGGCTGTAGGGGGATTGTCATGAGGCTGGGATTGTAAGTTTGTGCGAATAGGTCTTCGGCGCACTGCACTGCTACCCCGACGAATCCTTGCTGAGCTTTCTTCCGTCATGTGACGGGCATCGTCAGAGCTGGACACAATGCTTAACGATATTCCACCAAAAACACGAATGTAAGAAAAGTGGCTGTCTTCAAATCTACATACTTCTTATAGTCCTATTTGGTTTACTTACTTAGACATCTCATTTTTGAATTTGATATCATAGGCTTTGCCTAAATATTTGCTAAAAAGTTAAGTGGCTGCGGATGACATGTAAACTGGATGCAGATGAAGCGTGAAACGGATGCTATTCTGACCGAACAGCCTCATCCTTCCACTCATACCTCCAAAATGAATTTATTACGGGATTCTTCGAAAACCAGCTTTTCTACATATTTAGAGAAATGTGTTTTTAAAGAATGCACTCACTTAAAAATGATCTATTATTTTGCTGAATGTTACTACCGACACTAAGTTAGTATAGACAATTACTCAAGTGGCCTAAGCATCAAGTGCTAAACTGATACATTCATATTTTGTATCCTATTGTTAGTGCTGACGACACATTATCTACAACAATTATTCTTCCTTGCTGGCATAAAAACGTACAATTCAAATAAATATTAGCTGAAGATATGAAGGCCAAGATGGTGTGGCCTTTGGTATTGTCGCAGTCTCCTTTCGATGTATAGAAGTGAGTTGACCTCGTTCTCACAACCTGGTCGTGTTGTCAGGATGACTCATTTGGACGCACCTTGTTCTGCTACAGCAGTGGAATTCGGACAAGGTGCGTCCGAAGTCCTCTTCTATAGCAGAACTGAGTCGCCCTGGCAACACTACCAAGTTTTGAAAACAAGGTCAACCCACTTCAAATAGTAGCTGTTTAGCCATGCTGCCTAAAGCAATTATTGAATCAGCCTATATTAATTCATATTCCAAAGTGCTGATATCGTTGCATTTGTCGAGAAATTTCGAGAAAAACAATGTTCTGGAAGCTGAGCAGATGAACGATGAATTATTCTTCTTTGGTCTCTTAACTTTATTGAACGAATATTTTCGTTAATTAAATCAGAATTTTGCTCTTGTACAGGCCTACATGATACATCTTAAAATCCTTATATCGCTTTCTAAATCATTACTTTATTGTTCCATTTTTTGCCAGTGTTTCAGCAATTTTCACATTCCTAATTTAATTTTGCTTACCCTTTATTTACTTTATCATCCCTTTTGCATTGAATGAACTCTCTCGAAGCTCTCATTTGAACAGTATACTATTGGTTATTGATGCCGTCTGTACCTCAACAGAAGCCGCATTTGCGGACGACTCTTGTAAATCGCTCTCGCCCATTTCTCCCGAGATCCTTATTAACCACCCCTTCGCATCTCAGAGCGTGTCAAACCCTTCCGACTCGACTGCTTCGAAAGGTCTAACGAGGGTATCAGCTGTGAGGCACCCGCATCCTCATAGCTCCAGCTCAACATCCGTTTCTCTTGCAAGCCAGGCTGTGGCTTCCCTTCAACGAATAAGTGAAACTCCTCTTAGGAGTGCTTCTTCCAGAATTGATGACGGTAATATATGCTATGGTACCTCTAGCTTGAGCCATGCTACAAGTGGCGTTGGCGTTGCCAGGCCATTGGCAGGCGTTGATATACCTGCCAATCGAAATCTTTGTAAACTTCAAAGCTTTCCTGAGCCATGTCAACTACGAAACCAGCCTTTGGAACACCTCTTTCGCTCCGCATCTGCAATGTCTTATCTAGTCGCCGCAAGTCCAAAGCCGAAATTTAATCTTATGGATAATTCGTTTCCTATAATGCCAACTCGTCGAGCATGTTCCTCATGTCAGGGCTCTCTAACGAATTCAAAGGATCTGGAAGATGGGGTTGATGGCGGTGGCGTTAGCTTATTCACAGACCCAAGCGCAAAGAGGCACCCCGAAGAAGCTGAAATTTCAACAAGAACACCACAATCACCGTCACTTCGTCAGGTAAATGACTCGGTAAAAATAAGATACCTAAATTGAGTCATAGAAGATGAGCTGATATTAGTAGCTCTATCTAATCACCCTAAACTATAGAGACCTACCTCACTACTGAATTTGCTATCCTTTATTTCCTCATTCCTATAAGGTGTCCCTAGGCTGAACAAATCGGGGCAGTAGTGGTCAAGAGTTGCTTAAGTGTTGCTATTGTAAACCGTAATCAATGTCTAACTGATTACTAGCACTGCCTAAAAATGTTTCATAGTCAGATGATTTCTAACGCTTTTTATCACTTTACTTTTTATTTTATCGCATTTTTAAAATCTGCTTGCTCTCAGTAAGAACTTTCTGTAAATCTTGTCGATGCCATGTGACGAATGCAAGATACTCCCAAGAGTAAAGAGGCGTGACTTTCAAGACAACTTAGGTCTTTCTTATATCACATTTAACAGTGGGATTTTAGTTGAAGCCCTACTCATTCCTCTTGATTAGTTTTTATGAGATATCGGTTGCCAAGAAAGAAAGAATTCGCTTTGCATTTTTATTTTTTTCTATGGCCATCGAAATACGAAATAATTTGGAGTTGTTGCATACCAGTTGAGAGATATTTCGTCCAAGTTCGTATTTAATATTTTTAAAATTATTTTTTAATATTTCATATTTAGTTTTGTGGCTTTAAACACTATTAGTGCTGAAATAGCATTAATTCAGGAATGTTCTATAAATTAAGAAAAAATTAATGCTTGTTAGCCATGACTAGCATCGAGCTACAAAGCAAATGTGCCTCTTAACGCACTGTTGGATACCATCAGTTTCAATTTATTGTATGGATGCAGATCGTTAAAGCAGTATTACCAGAGACTTCAGAACCATTACGAGCTTCCATAAATTGGTCCCGTCTAATTTCCAATGCTAGATCAACGGTATAACTTAAAACTTCCATTTAATGTTTCAAGAATCCTCAAGAACTTGTCATTTTGTGTAGACGAATTCCAACGATGGAAACTTTAAAAAAAACAAGTAGAAAAATGCGTTTGTTGAATTATAATTGAC